TAAGCTAGGCAACGTGTTTTTTTTTTTAGCACAATTCACACACCGCGGTAATTCAGGAGAACAAATCTCCAAATGCTCCACGTGAAACTGCGGTCTTCCGACCTTTTACTATCGTGTCAATTGATTTTGATTAATCTGCGCGAGAAGTGTTTGAAGACGTGAGAGTGCGCGCGGCCGGGGCTCTCTCTCTCTCTGCTCGTGATGCGCCCTGTCAAGCGCAGCAGTCATTCTATTCTACATCACTCACCGATCAAAAAAGGCTTTGGCGGGACAAAAATTTGCCGTTATTATGTCGAAATACCGAGATATTATATTGAAATAACGACTTAATATCTCGAAATAACATATATTTGAATATAATTGATTCCAGACATTATTTTGGGGGTGCTATCGGGGTGCTTTGGTCTTTCTTGGGGGTGCTGAAGCACCTGCTAGCCCCTCCCTAGCGCCGCCCATGCATGTGCATGACGTCACGGTTTTCAAAAATTCTCGTTTCGGTATTTTACACAGAGACGATAACGGAATCGTTTTCAAAAACGTGCACTTTAAACCCCGTTTTTAAAATGTGCATTTTCAGGCCCCCAAAACGTTGTTGTCCTGTAAAAGAATGGCCAAAACGCATAAAGTTTTCCATTTTTAGTTGAAAACAGTGTCGTGTAAACGGCCTCCGAGTCTGACATGTAAAAACATGCATTTTTATTTTTCATTTTTAACATTTTATAAATTAGATATTACAAAAAATCCTAAGTTTTTAATATAATATAATGCAAAACATGTTAGCTCTTGAATATTTAGTCTGACAAGTAAACACAAAAATACTATATTATTACAATAACTATAATATAATATAATACAAATATTAAATATTTAAGATATGACATGTAAACAAATGCTAAAAGATGGCATCTATAGGTGTTGTAACCATATCATGAATTTTAGCACAGCTGGAACATACTGACCAATCAGAATCCAGGACTGGAGCTTTAAGATTTATAACAGATGCTGTGGATGCAATGTTTCCGTTCCAATACAGTCATTAAAAAAATTCCAACAACATCCTGCAACAAATTCTGACACCAAGTATTTGGCCTCAAAATTTGGCATTAAAAATGTCAGATAAAAAAAAAGAATGTATGACTGAATTAAATTACAATACTTGGTTGTTCTCAACCTTTGCAATTTGAATTAACTTTAATTGTGCAATATGTGTCTTTTATTCTTTCATATTCTTTCATTATTCAGCATTTCACAAATATTATTGAATAAATTACCATATTATGTTATAATACAAATATACATTATTATAGTATATTATTTGCTCAGATGTAGTTTGCAACACTTATTGTAGATTGACCCACTCAGTGTGTCATATATGATAAGAACAACAACACTTTATGACACTATACACATGATGGTATCATACCTCTTAATCACTGGTGATTCCCATCATGTGTGTGATGTATAATAAGTTGAGATAACAGCAATATGAGATATAGACAGATAGATTCAGACTGAAGCTCACCCTTTGCTTCACTGGATGGTCAGAGGGACAGCGTGTGTGTTCACTGAGGCGAGTGTGTGGTGTGTTCACTAGTGTGTGCTTGCGGGATAGGGTTGACTAAGGATACCACCTGGAGGGGCTTTCAACAACAGACATAAAAAAGAGACTGTAATTAAAGGAGGGGTAGGCAATTTTCAGAGAGACTAGCAATAGCGAGCTAGCTTTGAAAGCATAAGATCCCACCCTCCCTTCAGAGCGTCTCCAAAGCCACGCCTCCTTCATAACACAGCAGGGAGCAAACAAAAGCGCCATGAGAGACGGCATTAAACTAGCGCATGTCTCAAAGCACATAACATTACAATAATAATGATCGTAAACAACTGAAAAAGCACTGACCTGTACCCCACCTGACTGCTGCAGATTCATTTCACCGTTGATAGTGTCTTTATCAAATATCTTTATCAATTTGCATGTCTAAAAAAAGTATGACATTTATTACATTTAATTCTAATTTATTAAATTATATATATATTTTTTTTACTTTTATGTTTTACCCTAAACCTGACCATTTCTAAACCTAAAAAAAAGCCTCTTGTGTTGCACTCCAACACATTAGGTGTGTTCGACATCGGCTGCGGCTGGATGTAACTGATCGGCGAGAGTTGCCGCGTGCAGGCGGGGAGGAGCTGCAAACGGAGATATGAAGCCGGACACGTTGTGGCTCCCGTAGTTTGCTGCAATTACGTCAGTCATCATGGCAGATCACGTGGTGTTTGTATACTTTACCACAGCTGAAGTGAAATAAATGCAATATTTGCAAAATACACAGATGTTTCAGAGACATTTTCATTCAATACTTTATGTAGGCCTACTGCTTCATACAGCATCTGTTTGAACAAGAATAAAGTTCAAAATAAGCCTATATCAATGAAGTGGAGTCAACGTTTTTTAATCAGTTTTATTTTGATAAACATGACACAATATAACATCGCGACTACATGAAAAGAGTGTTTACTGTTATAAAAAACTGATTTGTGAGCTTTAGTGGAACTAAAGGTGTGAGAATAAACACGAAACAAACGTGATCGTTGTCATGCGGTGAATCCGGCCAATCGTGGAACAGCTGTGTCGTCATCAGAGCTCTTGCAGCCGCTCTTGAGAAGCTGCGCTGGCTGAGTCCTCCGGCTACTCTCGAATCGCTCTCGCGCTACTTTGATGGCATACGTCACAGTCACGTGGCGTCGGCGCTGTATCAAGTCGGACAAAATTTCTAACCGGCATGCACTGCTTCAAGTCAGCCGGCGATCGGTCTGCGCAGAGCTGCATGAAGTCGAACAAGCCTAATATGTTCGCACTTCCTCTCCGATCCCATCCCTTTGCTTTCTGCTCTGTTTTATATGAATAAAGACCAAAATGACATTACATTATTGTGACTGCACTTTTTCTGGTTTTATGTTAAGTGTAGTAGGAGTCGGGTTATGCGCTGGCTATATAGGCCTATGTAACTATGTGGCTGTTCAAATTGAAAATCATACCTCAACAAGTCATGATGACAAAATAATATAATTTTCATGAAGACAAAATTCCCATGCCCTTTTGCTTAAGTGGAGGTTTGGCATGAAAGGTTTTTCATCGAAAGCAATACGTTACTGGCTGCGTCGCTGGGCATGTTTGCTGTCAGTATGATTGCATTTGTTCTCTTGAAATGGGTTGACTTTTTAAAGAGAGCAAGAGGGGAGCAACCTCGCCCGTCAGCATGTGGGACAGGTGTTCTGCAATGCCCGTTTCAGTTTTAAAATGTATTATCATAGCTCTCAAAAGTGCTGGAGAGACCAATATTCTATGCTTTTGTGTTATTTGTATCATATTAGGTGTAAACAGGGCGGACCTTTATTATGAATAATCAAAAAGAAGAAATGTCACACAGAAATTGTTAAATATAGGATACTGGGGTAACCGAAATAAGGCACTTTAAGCCACATAAACACTAATAACATGTTTAGGTTGCGTGTGTTAGTTTGAGAGACAGCGTATCTGGCTTAACCTCTCTGGAAGTGTAATAAATGGACATTGACAGGCCAATGACCCTTTGCTCCCGAGCCCACCCCACCCCCACCTCCTCTCTCTCTCTTCCATTGATGAATGGAGAGGAGATTGAAGGTCAGCTGAAGGGGAGAACAGGCCCTCACGCTTGCCGTGGCGATTACACATCCCTGTCATTGAATGTGACAGGTGTGTGGCAGTTGTGGAAGAGATACATATTGTATCTGGCAGTGCCTCTGCATTTCATTTTTTTTGTGTGTGTGTGCCTATTGGGTTAAAGGCTGGTACAAGTTTTCAAGGACACGTATTGGTACATTATAGACTTGACTGGTTCTGTTTAATTCGAAGTATGCGTTTGTCCAGTTGTGTGTCCATTACCATAGTTTCAGTTTTTCATATTCACACGTCAATCCATCCTTAATCTCATTCTTTAAGTTCTGTTTTAGACATGTACCTATCTTCTGACACATACAGCTACATTGGCAGTCTGTGTTAAAGTGACCGTGTTCTACATTTCTATAGAATCTTACACTGTACCAAAAACAGTGAGATTAAACAGGCTGTTTTTGTTACTGTACCTGCTACTGTAAGAGTTCTGTATTTAATTGACTTGTGTTATGAATGGCTAATTGAATGTGAGAATACTAGCCTAATTCACACTGTCGTTCATCAGAGTGGGCTGAGTTGCTGAATGGGCGTTGATAAATGTAAATGTTGGCGGTCATGTTATGTTGTGATGTTATAACCATGACTATTTCAGAATTACCTTTTTTTTTAAAGCAGTTTAGTTTTCTTAAATGGAGAGATGAAGCTTTGTGTTGTGAGTTTTAGAGTATGTTTAAACTATTTTATTTTAAAAGAGCAAGGATTCTGTTGTCCATCGTTTATCCTCTTTCAAAATATAAAAATTGTTGGGGGATTGTTCTTCCAAAAAATGAAAATTCTGCCATCATCATTCACTCTCATATCTTTCAACCCACATGACTTTCTTCTTCTGATGCGACACAACAGCAGACATGCTGCAAGAGAAATACTGGCCATTTGCCATAATAGTAAACGATAGTAAGTAAATTGAGATTCTCTTTTTGTGTTTAAAGGAAGAAAGTCAGTGAGGTTTGAAATGATATGCATTTGAGTCATTGATGACAGAATTCACTTTTTTATTTTTATTTTTTTATTTTTTTGTCAGCGAGCTATCATTGTAACTAGTTTGTTGCATGTTTCATTTTGTGTTTGAAGATAATCTCTCTCTGGAGGTCTTGGCAAACGTGTGCAGTTGTGTCCAGTCAAACTGGCAGTGGGGTTGCTGCCACCTGTGTCTTGAATGTGTCCTCTCCCTGTAGAGCACTTGCCTGTGAGCCGCTGTAATGATGGGAATGCTGTTTATATGTGTTCCCCCTGCTTGTGGCTGCAGTGTTAACCCTCCTCTTCCCTGTTCCCTCTCTCCCTACACCAGGCCCGGCTCACCTCCTGCTCATCCACTTATAGTGTCACAGAGGTACAGCATGTTTTACACTGCGCCGCCTCTCAGAGACTCGGCCAATCATTGCTCACACACCTCACACGTGCACAACTCATCCCTGTGAAGCAAGTCTGTCTCATCGGTTCATTTATTTACCCCCAAAATGCCTCATAGTTTGTTTTGTGTGTTTGAGAGTGTGTTTGTGTGTGTGCTTCAATTCATCAGTTTCTCGTGAATTGTGAACTTTTCTGTCTTTAAATAAGGATAAAGTGATCAGTAATTAGACAAATGTATAGCATAATATGTGGAACATTTTATGATTGATTAAAAAAAATATTTAAAGCTGCTGTAAGCAATTTTTTATGAAATACCACCAATCATCAAATTATTATTGCATTATTTTAGTGTTTTTTTGTATTTTCTGTTATTCTCAATGGTGATTCTCATTACTTTAATAGGTAGTTTTTTATTTATTTAATATATTAAAGACAACAAGTGTTGTCATGATACATTAATACTGTTAATTGTACAACATATAGAGATAATATAATACCATTTAAATAATATATCATTGTTTTTTTTCACATTACAGTAATTTTCCAAAAATATTATTTAAAGGGGTCATATATGCCATTTTTGTACAAGCTAATATGATTCTTTAGGGTCTAAATTAAAAGTTTGTAATATACTTTAATTAAAAATTCTCATTAGTATTGTAAGAAAACACTTATTTTACCTGGTCAAAAACAGCTCTGTGTTCAGCACGCCGTTTCAGTGCATATGACTTTAAATGATAATGAGCTTTGCTCACCCCGCCCCTCTGTTCTGTGCTACACCGTTTGTAACACAATAACCATAACGCGTTGTTCATTATAAACGTGGGATTATGAATTATATTGAGAACGTCGTACATAGAAAACATGCTGTAATGTGCCCTGAGTGTAAACCTTAAGGCTCGTACACACCGGGACGAATATCGGCGCGCGTTATTCGCCAGCGTTTTTCAACGCGTTTTTTGTGTTCACACCCAAGCAATTTTCGCTGACGATGAGCCGAGTGAACATGCCAATTCATTCCCTGACATTAGATGGTGCTTAATGTAAAACAGAAATAGTCCTATGTTGTAGTCGTTGTCGCGTTTGTCATATAGTTCTTTATGTTCCGACACCAACGAGACCAGCAGCTCTACATTCATCTTGCCTTGCATCTTCCTCGTCTTATTTCTCCTCGGCAGTGTAGACTCTACTTGGCGTATATCTTCTTCGCCGTTGCGTATGTGTGCTCGCCAAGACTGTTTTGTGTTTGAGCGCCCCCAAGTTGTGTTTTACTGTAACTTCAGAAGCTCCAGACACGTGAGTAAAAGCGCCAATCTCATTGGTCGGATAGTTTTTGACGCGGTGCTTCAAACCCAAAAAAACGAACCCGAGGCGTTTTTTTAAAAATGACGCTTTTACGCGTGGCGTTTTTCGTGTCGGTGTGCACACTCACATTGGCGCCCTTTGTTTAGTCACGAGGCGTTAAACGTCGGCGAATATCGTGCGCGAAATTCGTCCCGGTGTGAACAGGCCTTTAGACGCATTCATCGTGAAGCCTGCAAGCGATTTGCAAAGATTAATATAAATATTAATATAAAGGTTAATAAAACGTTACACTCACTTCAGTTCTTCTGGGGGTTCAGCAGGAACACGAATAGTTGGTACCGATCCTTTATTCAGGAGCAGCTTCTTAGCAAAACCAGCTTTATACTGACCCTCCTCGTTTATAAAGCAGTCTGCTGAGAAATGATTCGCGCAGACATGAAAGCATTGACGTTGCTCGTGGGGAATATTCCCTTCGAAAACAAACTCAGCCACTGCGTCTTCAGCGGTTCGGATTTAGGAACATTAAAATGACTGCTGTGTTCGTTATTACACCCAAGAACAGAACACCACAATCGCTTAGACGCCATTCTGCTCATAGACAGTGCTCCAGCATATCAACAATGACCGCGCCGGTCCGCGTGGACTATGATTGACAGCTCGCTCACGAGCGAGGGCGGGTCTGTGTTGAAACGCTGCTGTCAATCAACAATCGTGGGAGGGGCGTTCGACCTTGTGACGTCACACGGTCGAACGGCTTGATTTGAGACAGAAGAAAACATATAAGGAGATAAAAAAAAAAAAACACTGGATAGATTTTTATCATTATATGATGGTTGTGTACAGGCACTGCCAACACACATTTCAGTACAATCAACTTGTAAAAGTGCATGTATCATTATATGACCCCTTTAATATAATATATTTTTTCTTTTTTTGATATGATATGATTAAGACATGTTCTTGAAAGATTTGATGAGATTCACCCCTTGGAGGGCGGCTTTTTGTCGAGAGTGTATAATAGGATGGGGAATGGTGGCAGAAGTTAGCATGATTTCTGAATTGCTTACAGCAGCTTTAAAAACCACCAAAAACACGCTTGTCCTTCCAGACTAAAGACTTTTATCTCTCATAATATTGTACTTTTCTGCAACACTTCCAGCTTCACAAAGTTGGAGGAGTTCTAGAAATGAGCTTTAATACAATCATGAGTGCTCATTATCCACGGAAGCCTCTTTTGTTCTTAGAGATCAGATGAAAAATCGGCGTAACACACAGAGACACGCTGCAGCTGCTTTGCTCCTCTTTGGTTGCGTAGTAGAAGTAGTAGGATTATTTTGCTGTTATGACTTTTCGCTTGATTCCCCCTCATATTTTTCATATCAGTGTTAGATGATCCTTAGAGTGTGTGTTTGTGACAGTGTATATTGTGAAGTGTGTGTGTGTTTGTTGACGGGCAAGGCTGTATCAGGTGAGTTACTGTCCTGTGGCTTCCTCCAGGCCTCACGGAGAGAGTTCAGGGCTCACCTGGATGAGGTCATCACGCTCAAGTCAAGGTACTCTACCTTGGACCAGGTAAACAGATATCCCTTTCTCCCCTAATCTTCACATAAGTCAGCACTCAGTCAATCACACATACAAAAATGCACCAGAGTCTTCCCTCAGAGTGTTGCACGTGGCCCACAGCCTTCTGATGTAGCATCAAGGCACTTTTTGTTATAGCTTTGACTTCTTGTCTTAAACAATCTCTCTTTCTCTCTAACTTTGTTCCAAAACCTACCTTGCTTTACCGACTACAAAGATGGCTATCTTAGCGCTCCTCACATGAAGTTTTGCTATTTAATTAAATATATTTATAATTAACATCTTTCTTGACTTTTATGCTATTTTTGATTGTTTGTTGCAATGCATTTTGGTATTTCTGCATTCTCGCTTCTAACAATTTGGCCAAATTAGTTATTTTAGAAGGAAGTCCCCATTAATTATTAAATATTCCTAATTTAATGCAGTTGACACTTTTAGCTAATTTAATCTAGCTAATGGTTTCTTTTCTTAAAGAGGACCTGTTATGCTTTTTTACAAATTTCTTTAGAGTGTAATGTTGCTGTTTGAGCATGAAAAAAAGGTCTGAAAAGTTACAAAGGACAACTTAAAAAGGGAGTTATTCTCTATTTTAGTAAGCACTGTTTCTGAACTCCCTGAAACGCCTTGATTGTAGTCTTGAGTTTTCTTCCGGGAAAGAACATGTCACAATATTCCTAATTTAAATAATTCCCGCCCCAGACGCATGCAAAATAAAGGGGTGAGGCCTGGTTGAGTTAGTAGTGTGTTGAAACCAAGCGGCAACCTTCCTGTCTCTCTCTTGAAACCAACACGGAACTGACTTAACCCTCTGGGGACTAAGCCCTTTTTGGTCCGTTTTCTCTATTTTTACATTTGGGCTTATAAACCAATATGTAATGGAGATGGAACACTATGTGTTTGGTATCTATGGATTCAGAAGACCCTAAGATAACATACGCATGCATGTAATGTGTTTATAAAGGAAGTATGAGTGAAAAATGAACTATAAACTAGAGAATTTCAAAAACGGAAATTAGATTTTTGTCATTTATTTCTGAAAATCACACATCACACAACAATAGTGAACAGTTTTTGAACAAAAAATATATTTGTCAAAGCCTTAAGGCCAATTTATACTTCTGCGTCGGGTGCGCGCAGTAGGTACGGCGTAGCATACGCACAGACGCGTACCATACGCCGTACCCTTCGCCGTAACCTGACGCGCACCTCCTCAAAAATGTAACTACATGTCGCGACGACGCGGACCGCAAGATCTGTGATTGGTCGGCTTGGGAGCATCGCGTTTCCTCCTATGTATTTCCGGCGTGTTCTTCTGCACCGCCCGCCATTTTTAAATTCTAAGTACAGCGAAACTGTTAAAAAAACTAAAAAATTACCTTTTCCACCTCGATAAGCTCCAACTCCAACATGATCTGCTCTCTTTCAGTCGACATTGCTTGTAGTAACCTAAACTCAAAACAGCCGCGAGGAATCTTCTTCTTCTTGCCGCGAGGAATCTAAACACAGTGGAACATTAAAACCCTCCGCCGCCAACTAGCGTTTCGGCGCTGTACTGCAGAGCAACGCAGACCTAAACGCAGAAGTATAAATGCTCATGACGGCGTCGCCTACGTGCGTAGCGTACGCCGTACACTACGGCGTACACTCGACGCAGAAGTATAAATTGGCCTTTAGCTTGACAGACTTGTGTAATCGTTAAATAAAATGTGTAAAGAACAATGAAAGATTTAAGTTTATTTACAAATAGTCCCAGGCGTTTTTCTTAGGAATGCTTAGAATTTTCTAAGCAATGCTTTCTCCTCGTCACTCTCCAGTGATTGTTCCAGAGCTTGTTCCACCGTAAATCGTTTACTGCTTGCCATCATAAAAGTGCTAAAACAATAAATAATGCTATAATTGTATGTATGTGTATATATATATATATATATATATTATAATTGTTCTGTCTCTCTCTCATATAAATCTCTGATAATCCACTCCGTAAGCCTCCGTTCGCTCTCTCTCCTTCTCTCCATTCAACGCTGTTTGCATCATATCCCTAACTATATAGTACCACCCCTTGCAAGGCTACAGAGTCCTCTGATTTGCTAGAAACCTCATGGTAACCTTCCTCTGATTGGGTAAGAAAAATATTTCTCCATCGGCAATTTTTCAATTGGTTGTTGTTCGCGGAATCTGCCAAACAACATCGATTTCATTGGCCTTTTACATAGTGGTATTGCGCAACAAGGAAGTGTGTATATTTACAAGCCGGGTATCACTGTTTTCAGTGGAATCTGAGGAAGACGGTAAAAAAGACCGAAGCTCTCTATCATTAATAGTTTTTAAGATAATTACACATTTGTAAAAGTATGCCATTTTGGGCGGTACCGCCCAATCCGTCCCCAGAGGGTTAAACTGCAATTCATCGACTGACCGCTAGAGACAGGCTGCAAAAGAGAGTCAGTCTATGTTAAAATGCCCAACTTTACAGCAGAAAAAAAAGTGTTTACAGCCTGGTGCAAAAAGTGTTTTTTGTCTACATAGCTAATTTTACCCTTCATGACAACTGTGAGGAGGGTGAATTTTTGTATAACTCATCCGTTTAAATAATATTAAGCCTTAAAATTCTGCATAATTAAGGGCGTGGCCACTTGAGTGACAGGTGGATTGCCACTGCTGTCATTTATAGCCGTTTGTCTGCTGTCTGTTAGCCCTGCCGTAACGTCACCTCAGCTAATCCCGTTTTTTTGCCCAAATTATTATTTTTTTGCCCATTTTTTTATCCGGGAGTGACGCGCTACCAAGATGGCGAAGGCCGGCTCCACCCACTTTGGGCTTCATAAATGTTCTTCAGAAACCTACGGGTGACGTCACGGACACTATGTCCATATTTTTTTACAGTCTATGGTTGAAACTCGGTTATGTTGAGGGGCGTGACATTTCCGAAACATGCTCGAAGCGTTTGACCAATCACAACACACTGGTCCAGCCGACCAATCCGAACACATTGCGTTTTTCGGAAGGAAGGGCTTCATAGAGACAGGAACTAAACAGAGCGTTACTGACAGACTGGGAAGAGAGGTGCTGCAACAATGTTAATATATCTGAAAAATAATGTGTTGTTTAATATTCAAGCATGAAAACCTGTTCTAGTAGACCCCCAAAACAAATGAAAGATTTTAGAAAAGGGCAATATAGGTTCTCTTTAAAAAAACACTGATACCAAAAAAATTTATACAATACAATACAATATACTTTAAAATAAAATAAGATGCGGAATTTATGCAAATTCAAAGTTTGAGATTAATCAGGTTGACTATTGTTTTTAATCAATTAATTGCCCTATATAATTATTCTGCCTACCTTTTGGAGCAACTTTCATGTCAGGAGTGTTACTATGATGCCTTAAAATACTGTCTAGTTAGGCAGCTCACTAAGTTTTGGAATACAGTATCTCTTTTTACCACTCTCTCTCTCTCTCTCTCTCTCTCTCTCTCTCTCTCTCTCTCTCTCTCTCTCTCTCTCTCTCTCTCTCTCTTTCTCCATCCCTCTTTCCGAGCTAATAAAATGGCTCACCAGCATTACAGATGTTAGTTTCCATACTGTCTTATCAATCATTTCTGATTGGTTAATCACAGAGCGGAGTTCCTCTTATTGGGCCTGACACTCTCTTGTTAATAATTCATTCCCCATTGCTATTTCCCAATTACTCCATCTTCATTTCACTGGTCAGGGATTAACTCTCATCTGCCCGTATGCTGACACATCGTTCCCCACCCTATGTGTGTGTGAGGACGTGTCTGTTTGTGAGAGTGTGTTTTCAGTCCACTAAGTTCTTTGGTCCCACTCTGATTTAAAGAGACGTGACATCGCTGCATTGCTTTCATTGCCTCCATCCATTCCTTCAACCGTCCTGTGATCATTGGTTACCTGTCATCTTCACTATGAGCTCATGCTGTCTATTTTTTGATGAAAGGATGTTAGATGTACAAATAGGAGGAGGGGAAGAATAAAAAGTGCCACGGATGTACAGTCTTCCTTGCCTGTACAGGATTTGGTTAAAGATTGCTGGTTAACGGGATGCTACCAGTCTTAGATCTGCATGTTTGTGTTGTTGTGTTTGATATACTGTAGTTAAACTAGCCCATTTTTTTTAATACAACTAATACTACTGGATTTTTAAGGGAAGACAAGGTTTATTTGATTTATTTATTTGATTTTTATTTAAGTAAATAATTGATTGAACCGGTTTAATGTTATTTAAGTGCATTAACTTTTTTAAATAATTATTTTATTTTAATCATCTTATAATTCATTGAGTTATGGCCTGATATTTTATTCTGCATTTTAGCAGCATTTTTTTGTGTTTTCATTATGATCCTTTTACTTACTATGATAAATCTAAATCTAGACTCTCTAAAATCTAAATAACCTAAACAATAACTTGTAATCTAATAAATAATACTCATAATGTATTATTATACCTAAAGTATATACAGGGCTGCTAGTTGATACAAATTAATCACAGTTAATCTTATAGTATTTTTTTTAGTTAACATGATTAACCTCAAACTTTGAACTGCTACTTTTTTTTAGTGTAGTGCATTCAGTTATATTGTATTCATCAAGTAATGGGATTACAGAATTACAGAAAGAAAACAAATGAAACTGAAACGGTTTCATTAACTGTGTTAAATAAATTATTCATATTTCATTCATTCATTTGCAGTAACTCTAGGTGTATGGTTTTCTAGGATCTATGAAATAATGATTATAATGTATTATTACACAAAGTTTAAACAGGGCTTTCAGTAAATTAAATGTATCTTGAATTATGACAAATTATCTTAAACTTGCCTGTATTTTAGTTGACAATTTTTGTTTTAGTGCATTCAGTACTTCGAAAACAAGTGCAACTAAATCATCCATCCAATCCAATCCAATCCAATCCATCCATCCATCCATCCATCCATCCATCCATCCATCCATCCATCCATCCATCCATCCATCCATCCATCCATCCATCCATCCATCCATCCATCCATCCATCCATCCATCCATCCATCCATCCATCCATCCATCCATCCATCCATCCATCCATCCATCCATCCATCCATCCATCCATCCATCCATCCATTGTGCAAACTCTAAACTGTTCTGGTGGCCATTAGCACACTGATAATCAACACCACTGTCTTTTTCCGGTGTCCTCTGAAATCTCACTGGAACAAAAGTGCAGTATGTGCCATGTGATTTCGCTAACTGTGCGTGCCGAGTGACATTGTGCCTCACCGCACCCCTCTTCCTCGCTAACCTGTGCAACCTTCCCGGCTGGCCGGCATAATGCCCACCTAAACATTAGAAACAGGAGCGAATGACGTCCAGTCAGATCTCTCTTCACCTCTCAGTGCTCATTCGTTGTCATCTCAGCTTGTTGTGTGTAAACTGAGCGAGCGCTGTCTCAGAGAGCCTTTAAAACTCATTCGGTTTTCTTTTTTTGGTCTCCCAAAGCTTCTCCTTTGCTCTGTCTGTTGTAAACCCTTTTGTTTCTGTTCATTGCCAAAGCTCCACTCTAGGCTGGAGGGGCTCAAAGATGATCGCAGGAACCATAGGACCTTCGACTCGCGAGTAACTATTCCCAACCCACGCAAAAAAAAGGAGCTGCTTCCATCCGCAAACTCTGCTTTGCGTCAGGAGTCCAAACTCCTTGCTTTACACTCTTCTTCTCTCTCCCTGTCTTGTTTCTTTCCTCTCTCTTTCATTATCTTGTCTGTAGACGTTGCTCTTTCTAATGCTCTCTTTGTTTTATTAGCCGTTTGGTGTGTTGGAGTCTCTTGTGGACATTGAGTTCTGTTTCTTAGATCTTTTTTCTCCTGTTTTTCCGTTCCTTTTAAGTTTTATCTCCATTTAGATGCAGTGTTTTATTGCTGTTTGCTGTATGTGAGCTGCGCCTCATTGTTTTCTTCCTCTTCCTCTCTCTCTCTCTCTCTCTCTCTCTCTCTCTCTCTCTCTCTCTCTCTCTCTCTCTCTGCTCTGTGTCGATCATTGATTTGTCGTGTTGGTGCTAGTCTGTTGTAACTGGATCGTGAGTAGAAAGGATTTGGGACTTGCTTGTGTGTCTCCCCCTATAGGCCAGGGGCATTGCGTCTCAGCACGAAGGACACATAAAGGGCTGTTTTAACGCTTTCATGCAGTAAATCAAAAACGTAATATCTATAGACTTCAGCCACTATAGCCTCAAGTCAATGTGTATTTTTGCATGGAATTTGATTGCCCTCTCATACCATTACTCTTGGCCTAAGGGAACTCCATACTTTATGATACTTTGTATTGGTAGATTCCACAGTTACAGCTGAATGTATAATCAAATTTGCTATTATTATTATTATCTTAAAACATTCATGGCTAATTTTGAGAGAAATTCAGCTTAAAGGGGGTCAAAATTAAACTGAATGGGAGGGAGTGTTTGTAGTGTTATTTTATGGAGCTTCCTAGATGTTAAAGTCAACTTGAAATTGAGACTGTTTTTGAAATAAATGTATATTTTAATAGATATGTAAATAATAAATAATGAATGGCCTCTGAACTGACTGTTCTTATCTGACATCAAGTAGGCCACATCTAGGCTACTGTTGTAGGAAACTAAACTTTTCAAAAATATTACATAACCATATAAAATAGCATTGGATTTGAAAAAGGAGAATTATCAATGGGATAAGTCGAAATGCTTTTAAGGCTAAACTTGACCTTTAACCTCAAGTTCCAGTCAAAAAGCAGACAGAAACCCCATTTTGTTTTTTACACCCAATTTTCACGATCCAATCAATTTGTGATGGATAAAAGCAAGTTCTACATTTTTTGTTCATGTGGCATTACTTGAGCAGTAAAATGAAAAAATAAAGGTACCATAAAAGTAGTATTTTATGTCTTCCGAAGCTGTACAATAGTGTTTTGTGTGGATCCAATCAAAATTTCCACTTCAATGTTTTGATAGGAAATGCCCACAACTGCATCTCTAAAATGCATCACATTACAGGATTAAAATGTTTCATGTTGACTTTAATGTCTGTTATATAAGATACGATTCTGGAACCGGGTTGGTTTGGGCACTAGAGTGCTAACATGACATAACACTTAAATTTTCAGCCTTGCAGTCCATGCATTAAGCATTTTCAGCATTAAGTCCATGATGATAATGATAATAATGGCAGTAGGACTGAAAATGTTATTTTCAGTTTGTTTGTTTGTTTTCAAGCTAGTTTATTTTGGTTGTTTTGTCTGAATGTGTAGATGATCACTCTGATCTTTATGAACCCTGTCAGTGGAATGCTAACTCTCCTGGACGGAGGATGGGGCTCCTTTTGTGTGCTAACTCTCTTCATGTCTTTCTGTCTTTCTTTTCCCAATTCCTTTCTCTCTCTCTTCCTCATTCCCTCTCATTCCGTCTCTCTCTCTATATCTGTAGGTGCAGTCACGATGCAGCAGCAAGGAGAACATCCTGAGAGCAAGTGGGTGACCGATTGTGGATTATCAGTAATGTTTGTGCACATGCGTTTGAGAGCATGTGTAAATTCTCACTCTTTGTATCAGGTCACAGTGCAGTGGACATCACCAAGGTAGCTCGGAGACACCGCATGTCCCCGTTTCCCCTCACTTCTATGGACAAGGCCTTCATCACTGTGCTAGAGATGACTCCTGTCCTGGGTACCGAAATCATCAACTACAGAGGTAAGCTCTTTGTTTGCGCATACCAACCCTAAACTACGCCAAATGCCTGATCCCACAAAGTTAAACCAGATGAGAGAATATATTCGCAAACTAGGGATGTCAAAAATATTAATAAAGTATTTTAAAATGATCAATCTTGGTGAAATGGTAAACGTGAACAAGTGGGATACAAATGTGATCAAATCAAATATGAAATCTGTGCATTAGGACTTGCAGTGTAAATTCAACCTATTAAACCCGCAACTGTCATTGATCAATCTTGGTGAGATATTGGTGAACGTGAACAGGTGGGGCAAAAATGTGATCAAATCAAATATGAAATATGTGCATTAGGACTTGCAGTGTAAATTCAGCCTATTAGACCCGCAACTGTCATTAATATTAATCAAACAACAATATAAACAAGAAAGAGTCTGCTCTTGGCTGAATAACTTTAGTAGCTGTTATGAACAGCAAAGTGTGTGTGTGTGTGTGTGTGTATATATATATATATATATATATATATATATATATGTTTACCTTAAAATACAGGGATGTATTCTCTAGCTTTTTTTTTTTTTTGCGTTGAAATTGGTATTGAGAAACATGATATTTTACTAGTATTATTATAAACTACTGGCATTTTACAAACTTATCGTAAAAAAAAGTCTAAACTATTTCTGTTTACGTCATTCTCTGAATTTTTTTGTTGTTGATTGCCTTCTAATTTGTTCAACAACCAGTAAAAATGATCAGAACAGAATTAAAAAACAACAATGGATCATTGCACTATAGTGTTTCAGACTCTGCATGGAGTTCACAAGGATGAATTGTTTCATTTAAAAAAATGTTGTCATGCATATTTTAGTATTTAAAATTCAGACTCATTCAAAAAAATGTTGTGAATAAGCCTTAAAGGGATAGTTCACCCAAAAACCAGCATTATTGTCATCATTTATTCACCCTTATGTTGTTACAAATCCATATGACTTTCTTTCTTCCATGGAACACACAGTAAGTTTTGAAGAATGTTCTTGCTACTCTTTTTCATACAATGTAATTTGAAGAGCCATGCATCTTAAACATCTTAAAAATACTCCATATGACTACTTTCATTATTGTAAAGAGCATTTTGTTATAGAAACATGCTGTCATGAATAAGTTCTTTTGTTCTCCACGGAAGAAGGAAAGTCAAATGGATTTTGAAAGACGCAAGGATGAATGAACGATGAAAGAATTTTCATTGTTTGTGGGCTATCCTTTTAACATGTAGTACTGTCCCTCTTATGATACCAAACTGTGTTCTCATTGGCTGTTGGACTGTGGTGTATATAGGCCAGTAAGTGCTGAAGGCATATAGTCACCAAGCTTTTTGCTTTGCAGGCTTTCAGCTTTAGCTTTTTCATCTTTCCTTCCTGTAGCTCCTCATCTGTCACACATCTGTTCGTTCTTTCTTTCACCCCATCATCTCTCCATCTTTCTAGCTTTAATCTTGTTGCTCGTCCCATTCGCCGTCCTCTGTTGTTTTTTAACTCGCTGACCTTCTCTGAAGCTTTGATGCCATTGTGATCATCTGAAGACAGATCCTGTGATCAGTTTACACACAAATCCAACCGTAAAGGCCTTCTTTCTGAATTTCGGAAAAACTATGTTACTCAATTCACATGAACATCCGGAGCAGTCCAGTCCCACTGGTTAGATTAAACAAACAAAAAACAAAAAAAACTATGGGATGTACTTTATGGTCAGTGCACCAAAAGCTGTTTAGTTTAGCCCATGCTATTCTTTTTGATGGCTCTTTTTTGACTTTTCATGGCCATCACTAACACAGAGCAGCCACCCTTGCATGTGGATGTGAATTGTGCCACCAAGACACAGGTCTGAGCTGGGCGTTAATGTCGGTCCATGTGGTGGGGGATAGTGGGATTGCCCATGTGGTAGTGTAATGTGCCCAATGCGTCTGGCAGGGCCCAATGCAGATGACTTGGCCCCTCCAGCACGAAAAGGCGTCTGGCGCCAGACTGGCTCAAGTTGGCGGAAAATTCCTCTCTGCACTGGCGCCGAAGCAGAGGCAGAGAGTATAGCCCTGGCCAGTGCCGAACAAGCCCCAAAGTTTGACACAGGTCAGTGAGCACCTTACCCAGCACCTTCATGTCCGGCGCACACCTTCGAGCATGCCTGATGCTCATCCGGCCCCAGTAATGTGTGGAATAGTCATCCATGCCTCAGTGCCATTTCACCTCCAGACCAGCAGGGGGCGGTTGAGAGTTGTTTGCTGCCACTGACGAGAGGGTGGAAAAAGATACTCATGTCAAGGACTGAGCCAAAGAACGTATATTGACAAGAAGTGAAAGCCAATAGAACGTTCCATTGCAACACCAGCGCCCAGCAGCAGCCCTACGCGTCCGCCATTTTGGGGTGAAAGCGACAGTGCAGAGGTCATTTTTAGGTTGAAATAATTAGGTGATTATTTTAACTCACAACAGTTAACGTTATAGCAGTTAAAAAGAAGTCGCTACTTAACCAGGCTTTTCCCCCCACATAACTTGAGACAGGGAAGTTGAAGGATTTAATTAATTATATTACTCTCCACATTTAGTGTGACAGGTAAGAATAAAGTGATATCAGTTCATAAAGTTAAAATAACGTTAGACCGTTTCCCAGGAGGTACACATAACGTTACATACAAAAATAAGTTATCAATGAAATAAATAAATTCAGCAAATAAATGTAATTGTACTAAAATGTAAATGTTGGACAAGAAATATATAACAACAATAGAATAGCTTTACAGTAAACTGTTTTTTTGCAGTACTATCTTATATTAATGACCGTTAAAGCAAGACCATGTAAACAAAAAAACACAGCCACTGTCCAAAGTGGCAATTAAAGTTATAGGATAACGGACACAGCAATGCATCATGTTCTATGCGATCATCATGTTTGTAGCATGATCCAGGGGATTAAAACGTACAAAATATATTTCAGACCTAGTGGAGTTGGTAACTAATAATAGTAGTAAATGTGTAAAGTTGCATACAATGGAAATACTCACTAATGCAAGAAAAAACTACCTCAAAAAGCTGTTATCGTCCAGTAACTCCAGTTGGAATTTTCACCCCAAAATGGCGGCCGCGCTACCGAAGCGCCACCTAGTGGCTGTTACCAAAAAAGCATCAGAGTTTCGCCTCTTGTTCTTCTATACTCTTTGACTGAGCTGAGTGTTGCTGAATCACAATTTGCATACTTTTTGTATACTTGTATGCAAAGTATAATGTGACAATTTTAGCCATTGATTGTATACTCTTAAGTATGAAGTAAGCCAGTACAAAATTGTGACAAAAATCGTGTCTTGATGTTACATCAGTGAATCATTGCAAACAAATCCACTTGCATTGCATGGAATGATCCATCCAATCAGAAATGGTATGCCATTTGAGTACCTTTTGACATACTTCTTTAATGTGACACTATTACGGATAGTATATCGAATTGGGATTCAGCTCATAAGAGGCAAGTGATTCACTGGAATCTTTTGTTTTCCTTTAGCTTGTTCCACTGATTTGGACATGGCATGGTTGTCATACATAGTCAACGGAATCATGTTCCATGTTTGGCTGTATCTGTTTGTTTTATCCATGAAGAATGGCCTAGTTTTGAAGAGCTTTGTTGTCATTTTGCGTACTAGATCATTTGTCCATGACTGCTGCTATTGAAGCCAGTGAACGCAATGGTTCGATATGTCAGTGTGCTTGCATACAAATCCAACAGTAAAAATAAAAACAACTTAAAGCAAACATTCAATACACAAGCTTTTCCGACAAAACCCACCAGCACCTCAAACATTGTGCCTTCAATCTATCAGTAACTGTGTGTAGAGCTTCACTGTTTCCTGACAGATAAAAGTGATTGATTTTCAGCTCAGTGCGAGCACAAGGAGGGCAGGTCCAGATCAGCGTAAATAGAGGAAATATCCTCACCCAGCCAAGTAATGTCACTCATAAATTTTGGAAATGCGTTGTTCATACAACAAGATGGGTGTAAGTTATGAGCGGCTGTCTGTTTTAAAACCTCTTTCTGTCACCTCGGTTAATAAAATGAATTTAAAATGTATAAATGGTCTCAGCCTTGGAGAAGATTGGCTATTTAGAGTATGCTGAGGTGAGAGCCTGTTCTGCTGGATTTTGATGTATAAGAGTTTCTAATGGACCGATATAAATTACCAATAATAACCAATAGGTTTGCAGATATTGCTGTCTACATCTATGTCGACACACACCACTATTCAAAAGTTTGGTGTTGGTAAGATTTGGAAACAAGGGTTTTCAAATCTTAACAAGCCTCAACAAGGCTATACATTAATTTGACCAAGATACAGAAAAAACATGATAATATTGTGAAATATTATTACAATTTAAAATGTATATTATATTAAATGTAGCCATTACTCCAGTTTTTAATGATTTGGTGCTCAAGAAGCATTTCTTATAGTTATCAATTGGAAACAGTTGTGTTCCTTAATATGTTTTTGTGGAAACTGTGATGCATGTTTTCAGAATTCTTTGATAAATAGATTAGATAATTTCTTTCAAAAAAATAAATAAAATAAATCTCACTGACCCCAAACTTTTGAACTATAGTGTACGATTGGCTGATGTTATGGCTGATTCTTTTTTTTACCCCTTAGGATGAATTTAAAGAGGAAAAAATATATAATTAGAAAAAGCAACTAATCAATCTAGTTTTAAAGGATAGATTAAAATAGTTTTAAAAATGTATTTTTTAACTTCTTTTTCTTACCTCTCTCTCTCTCTCTCTCTCTCTCTCTCTCTCTCTCTCTCTCTCTCTCTCTCTATATATATATACACTCACCGGCCACTTTATTAGGTACACCTGTCCAACTGCTCGTTAACACTTAATTTCTAAGCAGCCAATCACATGGCGGCAACTCAGTGCATTTAGGCATGTAGACATGGTCAAGACAATCTCCTGCAGTTCAAACCGAGCATCAGTATGGGGAAGAAAGTTGATTTGAGTGACTTTGAACGTGGTATGATTGTTGGTGCCAGAAGGGCTGGTCTGAGTATTTCAGAAACTGCTAATCTACTGGGATTTTCACGCACAACCATCTCTAGGGTTTACAGAGAATGGTCCGAAAAAGAAAAAACATCCAGTGAGCGGCAGTTCTGTGGGCGGAAATGCCTTGTTGATGCCAGAGGTCAGAGGAGAATGGCCAGACTGGTTCGAGCTGATAGAAGGGCAACAGTGACTGAAATAACCACTCGTTACAACCGAGGTATGCAGCAAAGCATGTGTGAAGCCACAACACGCACAACCTTGAGGCGGATGGGCTACAACAGCAGAAGACTCCACCGGGTACCACTCATCTCCACTACAAATAGGAAAAAGAGGCTACAATTTGCAAGAGCTCACCAAAATTGAACAGTTGAAGACTGGAAAAATGTTGCCTGGTCTGATGAGTCTCGATTTCTGTTGAGACATTCAGATGTTAGAGTCAGAATTTGGCGTAAACAGAATGAGAACATGGAACCATCATGCCTTGTTACCACTGTGCAGGCTGGTGGTGGTGGTGTAATGGTGTGGGGGATGTTTTCCTGGCACACTTTAGGCCCCTTAGTGCCAATTGGGCATCGTTTAAATGCCACGGCCTACCTGAGCATTGTTTCTGACCATGTCCATCCCTTTATGGCCACCATGTACCCATCCTCTGATGGCTACTTCCACCATGTCACAAAGCTCTAATCATTTCAAATTGGTTTCTTGAACATGACAATGAGTTCACTGTACTAAAATGGCCTCCACAGTCACCAGATCTCAACCCAATAGAGCATCTTTGGGATGTGGTGGAACGGGAGATTCGCATCATGGATGTGCAGCCGACAAATCTGCGGCAACTGTGTGATGCCATCATGTCAATATGGACCAAACTCCCTGAGGAATGCTTCCAGCACCTTGTTGAATCTATGCCACGAAGAATTGAGGCAGTTCTGAAGGCAAAAGAGGGTCCAACCCGTTACTAGCATGGGGTACCTAATAAAGTGGCCGGTGAGTGTATATATATATATATATATATATATATAGTCAAATTCTCATATCATATTTTCTATTTATAATATATGGAATTTATGTGCACAATTTATTATAAATATCCTCAATAATGCTCTTTAGAGAACAACCAAGTTTTTCCCAAAAAAAAATATTTTGGTTAGAAGTTACGAGAAGTTTATTAAGTGTCTTTACCAAGCTTATTAGTATTATCTAAAAAAAAAAAATCATAAGTTTAATGTTAATTGAGTCAAAGATAACTTTAACTCAGTTTTAGGAGCACTTTTTTAGTGTTCATTTCAAGACGACAGCATTTGGTATGGACTCCAGGCTTACATGTGGTCTGTTTACGGGCCTGTGCTCGGCTGTGTTGAGTTGAACTGGGCTTGTTGTATTGTAGCTGCAGGGAATCATTGCAGTTTCACGGTGACTGGGTTGTCAGGGCTCTGTGATGCGCGCTTGAGTACTCATCTCTGTGTGTAGATAACACAGACCCCATCTGTTTGATCTCCCAATCCAGACACGCGCTATATTTAGAGCCTCGTCAGATGTGCTGTTTTAGAGAAATAAGTCTTTTCTAATCAGCCTCCAACCGAGGAGAGGCCTCATTAGCATCAGCTCGCTCTCCCTCTCTCATTCTCCTGCTTTATCTCTACAAGAGCACCTTTGCACTCTCTCATTCTTTCTTTTTCTGTCTCTCTTTATTCTCTCTCTCTCTCTCTCTCTCTCTCTCTCTCTCTCTCTCTCTCTCTCTCTCTCTCTCTCTCTCTCTCTCTCTCTGCTTTCCTTCTGGCTCTCCCCGATTCTCGATTCTTTATTCCTCACCCTCTTTCTTCCTCTCTGTCTGTCATCTCTCTTTTCTCTTCTTCTTTTCATGTGTGGGAGGGCGCTTGTTGCTCCCCCAAGAGATCTCAGGCTTTGTGTGTGAGTGTAAGTGTGTATGTTTGGTGTTCAGAGGAAATGGCACATCTGTGTTTCAGGGCACACTCTCATCCACCTTTCCTACAACTTAATTTAGGCTATGTGTGAATTTGTGTGCTTTCACGTGAGAGTATGA